ATTGTTTCCTGGAAAACAGGTTGAAAAAAGAATTGAGAGATACAAAGGTCTCAGAGAGCCCAAGTGAGTTAGATGTATATCCAATGGTCACAGCTGACACTCTAAACACTTGGAAGATGGGTCTCTCTCGTGCATGTGGGGGCAGACAGATCTTGAGTCCTTCCCTTCCCATCACCATCCCGGGTGCCTCAAATTATGCAACAAGCATACTGTGAAGGGAAATACCTTTGTGGTCAGAGGACTAAACAAATGTAGTTCTTTGTTTCTATGTAGAAAGGAGGCCCCGGCCCAGTGGAAGGTGATAGACACCAAGCCAAGTGAGGAGACAATCCAGATGGAGTAGGGTGTTGGAATCCAAGTGGGGTATGAAAGCAGCCTTGTGCAGGCTGTAGAAGCCTCAGAAGATTGAGAAGGTCATCCATGTGGGAAAGGCATGCCCTGTGTGAAGTGTCGGAAACTGTATTGAGGTGCTCTCTCCAGCACAGGGAGTTAGAAATTCAGCAGAGTGAGGAGGGTGGAAAGTACTACAGATGATTATTTACATGTGAGGAGAGTAATCAAATAGGTAAGCCTATTAAGGACAGCAGAAGCCAAGCTTCTTGGCATTACATGAGGGAGTTGCAAATATGGAAAGGGAGAATGCTAGAATAAGCCTTATTATACTGGATTGGAACTGTCGTGTAAACTGGTTTCTCAATATGGATGGATATGGGATTAGAGACACACACACATGTGTGTACATTTGTATGTGCATGTACAAGTGCATATTCCATAGCTCTGTCCACAGTGATAACCTGGAAGTGGTGTTACCCCAGAATCACAGATCTAGTATCCATCTCCTATTTTTCTGAATACCCTTTTCCACTAAAAGGAACCAGATGTTTTTGGAAGAAGACCAGATACAAGCACTGAAAGCCTAGAATATCTTTTTTTTTAAATTAATTTCTTTATTTTTAAATACACGACAACAGTGGAATGCATTACAATCCTTATTATACATATAGAGCACAATTTTTTGTATCTCTGTATTTAAAGTATGTTCGTGCTAGTTTATGCCATTATACATGTAGTCTTTTTTTTTGCATTACAATTCTTAATACACCTAGAATATCTTAATGTGCCTTAAAGCAAGGGAAGAGGATCTAAGAAGGGAGGTGATTCCTTTCCTCCTATACCTCCTCTGCACAATGCCTGACACACTTTGAAAAGTTATCAAACTGTTGAAAGGTTATTTAAACTCCCATTTAAATGAAAATTAACACAACAAGTTGAGCTCATGCCAGACACATTAACTTTCATTAGTTACATTCCAGCCTTAAATCCTGAGACCATGCTCTTGATTTTTGCAGAGCCACCAATACAAATAAGCCAATGCCAACAAAGCTCATTAGAAACACAATTTTTAATGGTCAAACTTACATTTTACAGGTGGTATTTTACTATGTCCTATCCCACACAGCCGTTCCTTCATTCATTAAATAAGCACATATTAAGTGCCTATACCATATGGAGTATTGTGATGGGTTGGGGGAATCCTGAACCCCTTGGAACAGCAGACTAGTGGACATCTGGAGAGAAGTTTATCCAGATTAACTCACAATGCTTTAGAATTGGTCAGATGGTGACAGATAATTATTTCAGCCTTTTCCCATATCTAGGTTTCATGAATGAGGAAATGAGAATGTGAGTAGATGAAATGATTCAGGCACTTAAAAGCCAATTATATTTAAGCCTTCCATAGCATGCATTTTATAACCTTACAGATTGGACATTATCTGAAAATATGTCTCACTGTTCCTCCAAGTCTATAAATATTTTGAGGATATTATTCACATTATTCACAGATGCCTGTTGAACAAGTTAAAATAGCCTCTATACCTATGAGAGTCTGTTTTACTCATGTCTCTTCCTGGTCCTGGAGCAATGCCTGACATATAGCACATGCTCAACAAATACTTACTGAATAAGTTTTTCAAAAGATCATCCAATGTTCACATGGTGATGGTCCCTGCTGCTTTACCAGTAGGTGATATACTTAGAGTTGCTAAATGCCTCCTTGGACTATGGATTCCCCTGCCTTAAATGTTCCTGCTTTACCCCTTTGTCCATACCTCTGTGCTCCTCAGGGGCGCTATCAGAGGCCTAGAGTTACACGGAGATGAGGGCAATGTGCTCTGTGACCTCTAGGTGGCGCTGTGCCCTCGCTGAAACTCCCGAGGTGGGTGGGAGAGAGCCTGGGGAGAAGGGAGGGAAGGGAGGAAGCAGGACTCTGGCATCAGGGTTTGCTCCTTGTTCTGGTTGGGAGAGAGCGGGAGCGGGAGGGACATTAATGTCCCTCCTGCACTGGACTTCACCAGCCTGCATGGCATTGTCTCCACAGTCCCTTTAGCTCAGTGCCTTTGGCCCTTTTGTTGTTCTTGGGCTGTAGGAATAAGCTCCATGTCTAGTGTGGGGAGATGCTCCCTGGGGGCGGGGCTGCAGCTTCTTCCTCTGGGATCCCCTCAGCATGCACTGAGGAGGGCTACCTGGTTAATGAGCATTAAATTACTGTGTTAAAAGGAGGCACAGCTGGCTCTAGGGCAGGATCCATAAACCGGGCAAGGCAGTGTCTTTGGATTAATCAGGACGAGGGAGCACAAGCTACAGGGGGCTTTTCCTGGGTCTGTGGAAAGCAGTGAAGGGCACCTATCCAAAGGGAGGGAATCTGTGCATGAAGCAGGAAGAAGACAGAGATGCCTAGTTCCGCCTTGTGGGGTGGGCAGTGGCTACAGCAACTTCCTCAGCAACCTCTGGAAGCACCTGGGAGTGGTCTCTTGGGCCCTTCCTAGGCATGCGCAGTCCTGCCAAGCATGAAGGGCAAAGCAGTGTGAGCTGTAGCAACTCACAGGAGTAGTGACTTCCAAGCAAACCCTCCTGCAGGGTGGGGACCCTGAGGGGAGACCCAGGCCCCATCCTGTGATGTTACAATGGACTCCAGGCTCCTCTGCTGTGTGGTCCTGGGAGCAGGTGAGTTCTGGACCCAGTGGGGCATTACTGTCTTAGTTCTTGTAGCTTATTCAGGGAACTTTTTCATATAATGGTCCTCTGGCTTAGCCGAAGTTTGGTTTCTTATTCCTATAACTCCTGTGAACCCTGGAATTACCCAGATACCAAAACATCTGATGACAATGATGGAGAATTAAAGGGCCCTGAAATGTGAACAATGTCAGGGACACATTCCTCTGCTATAGAGAGAATGCTAAGAAGGCTCCAGAACTCGTGTTTTCCTACACCTATAAAGAATTCCTTCAAAATGAGCCTGTTCCAGGTCATTCACATGTGACAATCTAGCCAGTCCTCACTTATTCCTTCACAATGGATGACCTGGAGATAAAGGATTCAGTTGTGTACCTCTGTGCCAGCAGCTGAGACAGCCCTGCAGAGTGACTGCCTCCCCATACACAAAATTCCTGGGCCTAGTCAGGAGGTTGTGGAGACATTGTGTCCACCTGAGCCCTGAGACTAGTTGGATATCCACAGGTCTCAGAAACCTCAGACCTCATGTGGATCACCTGCATGAGGGTTCTCTGTCCTGTAGAGGGCACTGCAGGGATGATAGGTGCCAATTTTTACTGGATATGGCAATGCTATATTCACATCCAGATCTCAACAGTCTGTGGTCTGGCTTCGACTGGAATAACACTACCTGCATTGCAGGACAAAGACTCAAGTTTAAGTTGCTTCAAGTATCTCCCAGTTGACTTGTGTCACACCCCAAAAACTGGAAAAATCTTGTCAGTCACTTAACACAGGCTGCACCAATCTTCCTTTTTTATATAGAATTTTATTTTATTGATTGATTTGTATGTGGTGCTGAAGATTGAACCCAGTGCCTCAAGTGTGCTAGGCAAGCGCTCTACCACTGAGCTACAGCCCAGTCCACCAATCTTCATTCTAATATGCATCATTTTTTTTTCCAAAACTTCTATTTTGTTTCTCATCCTAACTCCAAATACAGTTGGACCTTTTCTTTCTTTCTCTCTTTCTTTCTTTCTTTCTTTCTTTCTTTCTTTCTCTCTCTCTCTCTTTCTTTCTTTCGATACTGAGAATTCAACCCAAGGCATTTTACCACTGTGCTAATTTCCAAGGCCTTTTTATTTTTATTTATTTTTTTTTGAGACAGAATCACTAAGTTGCTGAGTCTGGCCTTGAACTCACAATCTTCCTTCTCAGTCTCCTGTGTTGCTGGGATTACAGGTGCACTGATTTTTTCCATAATATCCCAAATCTTCCCCAAGTGGCTCTGTCAGTTCCTGTCACCAAAGACAATAATTTCCCAGTCTGTTTGCATCCTTCACAGGTCTCTAGTGCTCTCCCTTGCAGAACATTCAGGTTCAGGGTTGTCTTCCCTCTTTCACTGGGACTTTAGCACTTTCACTCTTGATTCTTTTCCCTCTGTCTTTTAATCCTAGTACTAAATTACAGTGTTCTTTACTAGAGTCTGGTGCCCTGGATAATATTGCTCACAACAGATAATGACAAAGGGAAGACTCCCCCCTCGTCTTGTGTGTGATGCTGGGAATTGAACCCAGGGCTTCTTTACAGCTAGACAGGTGCTCTACTACTGAGCTACATCCCCAGGCTTTTTTATTCTGAGGCAGTGTCTCATTAAGTCACCAGGTCAGAGAGACTGAGGCAGGTCATTAAGTCACCTGCCTCAGTCTCTAAAATAGCTGGGATTATAGGTTTGCACCTGCACCTTTACACCCTGCTCTATGACAGGAAAATTTCTTGACATCTCCACACTAGACTTTACAGTTGGGGTAATTTTAGCTGAGCTCCACACTCTTCACAGTAATACCCTCTGCCCTGCACCCACCCTGAGAACAGAGTCCCTCTCCCTGGCATGGCTGATGTCGATCACCTGCAGGAGGGTTCTCTGTCCTATAGAGGGCACTGCAGCAGTGATAGGTGTGGAACCAGAGACACTTTAAAATCCCTGCCAGACCTCCTCTGTGGAATCATGGGGCTTCAGCCTGCTCCTCTTCAGTTTCTGATGACCTGGGCTAAGAGAGGATCTTCCTGCTATGACCCTACTATGGATACCTGGCTCTTTTGTTGGACAATTTTTAATCTCCTGAAAGCAGGTGGAGTCATAAGACTAGAAAATTGTCACCTCAGACTTCCCCAAGACGGTCCTAAACCATTCTCTTAATGTTTTTTCTCTTCCCACAGTACATATGGAATCTGAAGTCATACAGATCCCAAGCCACCAAGTCACAAAGATGGGACAGATGGTGATCCTGAGTTGTGACCCCATTTTTGGTCATTCATTCTTCTATTGGTACCAACAAATCTTGGAGCAGAGGCTGGAGTTTCTGGTTTCCTTCTATAATGGTAAAACCTTGGAGAAGTCTGAAATATTGAAGGATCGATTCTCAGTTGAAAAGCCTGATAAATCCTACTTCACCTTGAAGATCCATCTCACAAAGCTGGAAGACTCAGCCATGTACCTCTGTGCGAGCAGTTTAACCACAGCCTTGCAAACACACCTCCAGCCCGTGCACAAACACTCATGTGTCTCCCTCTCTCTCAGCTACCAGCCCAAGAGGAGGAAGTCTGCTTGTGTCTATTGTTGCAGCTGTCCCCAAATAGATGAATATCTGAAATTAAATTACCAAGTTAGATATGTCTGGCAGGAATGTCTAAAAGCCATGGGGTGTACAGATTTTCTTCCAAAGATGCTCCAAAGTGTGACTCTGGGCTGTAAACATTAGTTGCTCCGGAAGTGACCAAATGAAATATGTCTTCTCTTTATTCTGTTTTGTTGGATTCTTGTTTCCTTGATTTAGTTTTTAGGGAAAATATTTTAACCCATAAAATGAAGAAATGGTTACTGAGTAGGGACTCAGGTATTTACTTGGTAGCATAGAGGGACAGTGGAAATCTTCAGATGAACAAGAAGATCAGTGCAGGACCTAAATACAGGTGAGCCTTGGCCAGAATGTAGTCAAGATCAGAAGTACTTGATGACCCCGTCAATCTGCATTTGGTGCAATGATTTTAGCTCACATGAGAATAAGTAACTATGAGGTTCAATATTAGGAAATCGCTTCAAGGTTAACAGAGGTCTGCACTAGCAAGGGAATCACTAGTGTAAAGCTGGGCCTCACAAGAACATATTCTAGAGCAAGGTCAAATGGAATCTATAGGCACAGGCAGAAGAGAATTTGTCACTTTCGTCTTGACATTGGGACAGCCAGATTAACTTCCTGCATTTCAAGTAATATCCAGCGATCTTGAAAAACTGGATCAGAGAAGGTGGAAGGAAGACTTCAAAAGGAAAAGAAAGGATTTACTCATGATAAACCAGAATGAGCTCAAGGAATGCATGAAACAAACAAGCGTGAACAGATTATATCAGTCATAAACACCTGAATTCATTGATTCACTTACACTCCTGTCACCTCCATCACCATTTGAAATGAAATAATGGATTCATGACCGTGGAATTTATTTATTTTTCCTTCTCTAATGTACTCCATAACACAGAAACATCTGGCTTCAAAAAATGATAAGGTGATTTATCGAAGGTTTATCTACGGCTCAGAGACAGCATCAAGGGGCTGGGGTGCTATTCCCCTGCACAGCAAATACATTGACTCTATGGCTGGGATCTGGTGTTTTATGCCCAACTCATGAATCCAGAAGCCAAGAGTGGAAGTAGGATCATCACCCTGTGCATATCACTCTGGTGACCCAGTTGCAGTTGCACATTTGTATCTTCTGTCACCATGATTTGTTTTGTTTGGGGGGAGTCTGACAGATAAGAGATCCTTATTTGTGAGGGAAGAGGGGAGAAAGGAATGGGTTCTTCAACTACAGGACATAATAAGGATTCCTCTGAACCTGAACTATGACTGTGGTCTTTGGTCTCCTCTTATTTGAAAACCAGCAGGTAAGAGTGGAAATATTTAATTTTTATTATCATGAGGTCATACATTTGCTGCTCCATTATGGGAATAAGGAACTTTTTCTCTGGAATTCAGTAATTAACACATGTATCTCTTGGTGCTTCAATTCCTGGTGATGGTGATAATTTTCCAATTTGGGCAATCATAGCATGACAAAGTAAATGCACATAAGAACTCAAAACCTTAAGGGGTGAAGGTAGGGTCACCCCCACCAAATAAATAACATAGATCATTGAAATGCTGAGAAAGATTGAGGGAAATCTGGAACTAGTGGTGAAAGGAGATGGTGGATAGTTTCTATGGCTTGATAGACTAGTGGAAGTGGTGCAACAGGTCTATAGATTATTTCCCTAAATCTGTATTTGTACAGATTGCAGCTGATTGATACCTTCAGCAATCTTAGTGGAAGAAATGACTGTGCCAGATGCCTCTAAAAAGTGTCATTCTTTGCCGAATCAGTGAGTCTAAAATTTTCTCTCAAAATCATTAATACTGAGAAACTATTCAATAGTCATATAACTTAGTCCCCATCCCTGGGTTTATTAATGCCAGGTGCTGAAGTCCCTTGGCAGTGCCTCTGGCACCTGAACCTTATCTCTTGGTATGGATCTCACTGCATGCTTGTCCACCTCACAGGCTAAGGGACACAGAAAGTCCTGATCAGAACTTTGTTTTCCTGGGGTGAAGGCTGTTTCTCTTCTCCTCTGGAAGTTTCTTCTAAGGCTGAGAGTCCTCAAAGACAATGAAATCACGATTCCAACAGTCCTTCAGGAGCCTTTTCCTTCCTGATGTTTGGAACCCTGACCTTGGGGCACCTCATGCCTGCCTTACTCACACAAGGGCACCAGGTTCTTCAGAAGGGGACCTGTTGAGAAATAGGTCTGGTGTGAGAAGGGCAGGGACTTATTATCACCCTCTTCCCTCCCAGGTGGTCCCTGTTTCTAAGACATCTGCCACCATGCTACCCTTGTTCAACCGCAAAGATGGAGTCCTAGTGCTTTTGAACCTGGGACCACAAGGAGGAGCTGTGACTCTGTTGAGATCCAGGAAACTCTGAGCAAGGACTAAGAGAAGGCTCTGGATGAGAGAGAGTTAAGAGGAAGTTTGGGTTTCTACATCTGGGGAAATGTGCTCTGCAGGAGCTGAGGTCAGTGCTGTGGTGTGGGCTGTTATATACCCGGTTAGGCCCTTTGCAGTGATGTGCAGGTGTTGCTGTCCCAGATAACAGCCTGGAACGTCAGATTGTTGCATATGAGCTGCCTGAGAGGAGAGTTTGAGCTGAGGAGGTTGGGAGACTTAGGCAGGTGCAGGTGGGGGACCTGTTTCTAAGGGAGGTAAGAGAGGATCTGGGGTCTGTCTCAGCTCAGCTCAGTCATGGCAAAACAAACCTCGTGGTGATGTCAGCTCCTGGCACTAGCAATGATCTTGACAGTCTAAGGTTCTTAGGGAGTCTGCAGAGAAAATAATAACCAGAGGAAATCTATTCATCAGGCCTAAGGATACATATAACCTCCCCCCTCCTTCCAGACCATCAGGGAATTAAACTAGAAAAGTCTTTACTCTTCTACCTCTGATGGATAGTCATATGTGATCTCAAAGAGAACTGTTCAAACAGGTGTTGTTTCAAGAATGGAAGTTTTTGCATATAAACATAACAGCACATGCTGTTCTCAAACTTTGGCAAATGACCAAATTATAAGAAGGGTTTTTAAATGTTGGAAAGACAGAATCATGACAATGTGCCTCTGTGTGACATTCAGTCCACTTCTCATTAGATCTACTTCTCTTGCTTTCTGCCTCATTCCCACTGGTCCTAAGCTCTCCACCTTTTGGAAGACTAAACTTTGTCCATGCTAAATTATTTCATGTTTCTTTCCTTGTTTGCTTTGTCAATTGAGGTATGGCTCTTGTCAGGGGTCCCTACATCAGTGGTCCTGACTCCTGTTCTGTACAGGAATCCACTTCTCCAGTTCAGCCATCCCAATCAGAAAAGAAGGTGCAAGGAATCATTTATTTGCTTTCTTGCATACTATGGGCTGTTCTTGATAGATAATAAAAATTATGTTCTTTAATTTTTAATTAGACATTAATTTCTAGTATTATATACTTTTAAATTATTTAAAACACTAATCAGAACTGGCATTACCTCATGTGCAATGAGTTTCTTAATACCAGTTTTATTTTAGAGACTTTCCACCCGATTTGGTCATGAACATTTGCATAAAATAGCAAGATAAGTAATTATTTGAAACCTACACTTTAAGAATGGTTGCTTCTTTATATGGCTATAAGCTCCATCTTATATTGATTCTTGTCAATAAAGTGATCTCTTCTCTCACTCCTTTCCTTCCTTTCTTCCTCTCTCAGTCCTTCCTGCTTCCCTTCTCTCCTTTTGGGAAAGTCTTCATGTGTACTCTGTGTGGTGCATGATGGTAGGTGCTGGGGACTCTGGATGAATAAGCCTGTACCTACGTGTGCACCTGGTAATGCCCATAGTTTTGGAGCTGGACAGAGTGTTGAAAATTATTGATTTGGGACCACTGCTTTATAGATGAGAAGAAGGAATACAGTATAAAATATTTAAATGTAAATACTGGGTTATATTTCTGACTTTCATGTAAAATAAACTTTATATCCTTATCCCACAGGTAATCTGTGCATTTCTTTTTGCTCCCGTTATAGTATAAACATCCCAAGAATGAAAACATTGTCTTCCCCATGACTTGTACAAATGAAATATGCTGAAAATTTCCAAAAGGGGAAAATCCCTGGTGCTGTGTCTGTGCCCAGCAAACACAACTGAACCACCTGGGGCTTTCACCTGTATTTGGTAGTTTTACCAGAATATAAGTAAGCATGTGTGTGTGTGTGTGTGTGTGTGTGAGAGAGAGAGAGAGAGAGAGAGAGAGAGAGAGAGAGAGAGAGAGAGAGAGAGAATCAGATGCCTTTTTGATGGTGTCCACAGACAGAGCTTACGAAATGTTAAAACTGGACTTATCCATCACTAGCAAGTACTGAGGCTGGAGGCAGAGCCACATAGGATGATAAAGGTGGGAGCTATTGGAAGGGATAGGAAAGGTGGCTCTTAAACATGGAGATTTGATATTGTGGAAGACATTTTGGTTTTCATGAGTATGGTAGGGGATACTGTTGGCATCAGGTGGGCACAGGACAGTGATGCTACTGAACACACTGCAGGGCACAGGACTGCCTCTCAACTAAGGATCATCCAATGCAATGTGTAAATAACGCTGAGGTTGACCAATGCTGGGCCAGGCTCTGAGTGGATACTATGTATCCAAAAGGAGGGGGATCTGTAGACAATTCAAGGATAGAGAAATTGTTCCTTGTAGATTTCCCCAATTTCGATGCTGTCCATGTCCCCATAACTTTGTTCCCAACACATAATGACTTCTTGATCTCTAGAAGCCTCCTCAGACCAGAGCATTGGAAAGCCCTGCCTCTCATGAGAACATCCCAGGGACCAGGCCTGCAGCTTAGTCCCATCAAGGTCACCTAAGAGTGTTCACCAGACAGTCACCACATTCCTGCATCTTAAATGGCTGCAGCTGGTGTTTGGTGAGAACTGAAGTCAATCTCCTGCCCAAGCCTGAAGTGGTCAGGGGGCCACTGGGCATAAAAGACATTCAAGGGAGCCAAGGAGTAAGAGGGATCACGCAGCATTAGTGTGAGAAGGAAGAAAAGACCCAGGAAGGAAAACCAGACTTGCTCTGAGAGGAGGCCTAAAGAGGAGAGGAAAGGAACACGGGCAACTTCTGGGCCAGGGAAGGGGTGGGGGCAGAGTCTACTGGAGGCTGCACACCCACCCCACTCACACCTACTCTAGAAATCCCCAATACACTGGCGAACGAACGGAGCTGGATCAGGACATGAATAAGGAGGAAACTGTGATCACAAACCCCGAGAAAAGGAAGAATAGCACAGCTGTGATGTCACCCGCAGAACTTGTGGCAGAGCCTTGGGGGTGCAGCTGCTCTGAGTCTATAGGCTGGAATCCTGAGCCGCGGCCTGGCCTGGCCTGCCTCCTACCATGGGCTCCAGGCTGCTCTGCTGTGTGGCCCTCTGCCTCCTGGGAGCAGGTGAGTTTCTCAGCCCAAGTGGTGTGGCCTTGTCAGAAACTCTGCTTGAGTCTTCTCTATGCCTGGAGCTGCAGCTTTCTCCTGGGATTCTCCTGAATTCTGCTTCTTTCTTTCACAGGCCCCTTGCACTCAGGTGTTTCCCAGACTCCAAAATATCTCCTCACACAGGCTGGAAAAAAGCAATCCTTTAAATGTGAGCAAAATCTGGGCCATGATACAATGTACTGGTATAAGCAGGACTCCAAGCAATCACTGAAGATGATGTTTACCTACAATAATAAGTTAATGATTGCAAATGAAACAGTTCCAAGTCGCTTCTCACCTGAATCTCCAGACAAAGCTCATTTAAACCTTCATGTCAAGTCCCTGGAGCCAGAGGATTCTGCCTTGTATCTCTGTGCCAGCAGCCAAGGCACAGCCCTGCAGAGTCACCAGCTGCCTGTGCACAAACCTTCCAGGCAGCCAGGAAGCTGTGGTGACAATGAGTTCCCTGTGCCTGAGGCTCTGCTCTCCATTCCTGTGGTCCCCGTGGAGTGTCAGTGTGCAGCAGCCTCCAGGGCGCCTGGTGGGCAGCTGAGTTCTCCACACACAGAGCCCTGCAGAATCCCTCTGGTCAGCTGAGCAGGGACTCCACTAGCATCACCCGCCCATACAAATCCACCAAGAGTGGAGAACTTCAAGTCCTTAAGTGAAGGAGCAGCCATTCCTTGTCCTTATCTGCTGTACATATGGCCACATCTTGTCCATTATGTTGTCCATGGAGACACAAATTTAAAAAATGTTTGATGAGCACAAACCTGAAGATAGGCCAGGGTGAATCTTCCCATGATCAACAGAAATTCAATGAGATCCTCATTTAGCAAAAAAAAAAAAAAAACAAAAGAAACCCCCCCAAAAAAACCATATATATATTATGTAATATGATACATAATAAATAAATAGATGAATATATATGTTTTATATGTTTAAATATATATTTATATTTTGTGGGGGAGGGAGGAACATGTCCAACCTTAGCAATAGGTGAACTAGAAATTAAGGGTAGTAGAGAAGTGAATCCAAGCTGCATGTGCTTTGGATACTGCAGCCCTTCTGGAAAATGTGTCGTAGCATCCTATTCCCATTAAGCAGCCAGATGATGGAGGATCCTGGGAACTTGGGAAGGACTGGGGCACAAATCTCTTGGCAGAAGTTACCATTGGTCCCATCTGACAGGAGAAGGCACGATCAGATTTGCATTTGGGTGAAGAACAGGGGCAGCAGTGTGGAATAGATGGCTGATAGATTTTAGGGGGACTGAACATCTAGGAAACTTCTCAAATATTCTACATGAAAGATTATAACACATGTTATGTGAGGCACTGTGGAAGATGGATGATAGGGACTCTGGATTATGTTATATTCTCCTAAACATCATTCAGTTTTATTTTAGTACATTGATTGTAGGGTTTTCAGATTTGCCCTCCCATTGGACAGCCCTAGCTTGGGGTCGTTATTTCTCAAGCATGGTCTTTTTGGAGTCCAGTGCAATTCATAACAATGTCACCCACATCTATCAATCTGAATCTGAATGCCAAGGTTGTTCAGGTTATATGTCTCCTGAAATCTCTGCTCAGCTCTCCAGCCTTCCAGAATTTGTTCTTTGCCTAGGCTTCTGGGGTCTTGCTCTCTGAATACACAATATGAATGGCACCAGAAAAAAAATGAGATTTCCTTATACATATTCTTGGGCTCCTTTTCAACTTTCAACTCTCTGTACCCTAAATTCTGAGTTCTGAGTTCCAAGGGTCTGTCCATGGACTCCAAGCTTATTCCTTGGGACTAGAGTAAGAACCTTCCTTGGATACCAGCATTAGCCAGATACTAAGAAACCTCAACATGGGAACAATGCAGAGAAGTCCCTGGAGTGTGAACACCTCTGGGATATAATGCCAAGAATTTTTAAAAGAAGATGATAAGAAAATCCTGAGCTTATATTTCCCCATGATTATAAGGAACTGGTTGAAACTAGACTGTGCCCAGGTACTTGTCACCTGAGTGCCTGACAGCTCTTCCTTATTCATTCCCCTGGCCTCCCTGGAGCCCAAGGACACATCCATGAGTGCCAGTAGCTGAGAAACAGCCCTGCAGAGTCACCCTGTCACTGTACCCAAACCTGTGGGGATAGACTAGAAGCTGTGGGGGCAGCTGAAGGCTTTAAATATTTCCTGTGGGACCCCAGACAGAAACTGCAAACCATAAAAGCCCCTGTCAATTCCACCAATTTGGCAGCTCTATATTCTACAGCATCTGTAGCAGGGAGGTTTCTTGCACTCCTGAGGCTCTATCAACTTATGCAAAGATGAACACTTTTAAGTCTAGTGTTTAATGCATTTTCTAACATGAAATAAAAGAAGCCTGCCATAAAGTGATTCATTTGACTTAAGAGTTCACAGGGGTCCTGTAAATAAACAAAATAATAAAATAAAAATTCAGACAAAATTCAGGCTGGGCCACCTCAATCATACCCTACACAGAACCAGAGGGCAAGGTCCTGTCCTTCCAGATGTTCTGCTTTCTACACTCAGGATTGCCACATCTGAGTCTCTTTGTTTTTCAAATTTATTTTATTTTCATTTTAGAGACAGGGTCTCACTGAGTTGCTTAACACCTCAGTTTTGCTCAGTCTGGCTTTGAACTCACAATCCTCTTGCCTCGGCTTCCAGATTACAGGCATGTGCCACCACACTTGACTTCAGCCATGCTATTTAATCCCAGCCACACACTTCAGGATGCTCAGGCGCTGCCTTGGGGCATCTGTTTCCACAATGCTATTCAGGCCTCTGCTCTTCTGGGGCATCCTTGAGTAAGTGGGTGCAGCACAGGCTGAGATGTCACTGAATTTCCTCCTGGGACTGCTGAGCCTCAGCCTGCCCAACCCTGCCATGGACAGCAGCCTCCTCTGCTGGGTGATCTTTGGTCTCCTGGGCACAGGTGAGTCCTGGGAGGGCTTGAGCAATTCCCCTCTTACCTTTACCTGAGGGCAATCCCACACTTGCCCTTCATTCTCTCCTTGCCCTCTGCCTCCTCCACAGCACATATGGAACCTGGAGTCAGACAAGCCCCCAGTCACGCTGTCACAGAGGCAGGACAGGATGTGGCTCTGACTTGTGACCCTGTTGCTGGTCAGGCTTCTCTCTATTGGTACCGACAGACTCCAGGAAAGGGACTGGAGTTCCTGGTTTCTTTCTATAACAAGCAGCCTTCAGGGAAGGCCGACTTTTTCAGGGATCGATTCTCAGCTGAGAGGCCTGAGGGAGCCTTGTCCACCCTGAAGATCCAGCCCACACAGCTGGGGGACTCGGCCACCTATCTCTGCAGCTGCAGCTTAGGCACAGCCCCTCAGAGACACTTCCTGCCCTTGCAGAAACTCCAGGGCTTCTTCCCTGGCTCTCAGCAGCCTTCCTGCCTCAGGAGGGTGGGCACTGGGTGGGACTGCCCACGTCCAGCATACATCAAACTCAATTCTAAGAGAAGAGTAGATAGAAATGGGGGCTTAGGTCTAGGGTATTTGGGGATGCTTCTGGACATCAGAGAAGTTGACTGAGGACCCAAGATTGGAACAAATACAGCCATAGGAGAGACTCCATGAACCTCTCAAGGGAGCTCTGCATCCTCTTTGAGTCTTGGGTATTTTTTTTCATATTTAGCAAAATATATTTTTCATATTTGAGTAGAAACAAGCCTTCCAGAGAGAAGATGGATTTTTATGACGAGCCTCACCTGGAAACTTTCTAGAAGGTGGAGGATCTGAACAATAGAGTCTAAATTATGGTAAGGAGGAATGTTCTGGCCCCTCAGCACCCTGCACCCAGGTCAGGGAGGTTTCTTTGGGGACCAGGGCTGCCTATGTGTGGGGGGGACATGGTGCTCTAGGCTAGTTGAGTGCATCATATTGGTTTTTATCTACTTGTTCATTCTGGCTAATGATCTTAGTGATTGGATGGCACCAGCTGCTAGAGACATTCAGAGGCGGCTCCTTGCAGGGCTCTGTGTCCTTCCCTTACAGAACAGCCCAATTAGTTCTCCACTAATTGGAGGCTGGCACGTTCGCCTGTGCCAGCCTCAGTCACAGCACAGCACAGGGATCTCTCTGCAGAAACAGCAGTCACAAGAGTGAGGTGGCAGTGCCCCATGTCTGCTCCACCAGGCTGTGATCCATCCCCAGCATCTCCTCCTCAACCCCTGGTTTCCCATCCAGCTTTCTTCAAGGTTCCCTTGATTCTGCGCTTTGGGGAGAATCGTTCTCCCTTTCCTCTATGCAAGAGGCAGGGTCTCACTGAGCACAGCTCTCATTGTACCTCAGTAGTTTTTCTCTGCTCCTTCCCTTGCCCCATGCTCTTCTTTCTTCTGGGTTCTGATTGCAACCTCACCTCATACCATTGACTATGCCCATCCCCTGTTATGCTGCCTTCTCGTGTTTGGCCTCAGGTATTGGATAACTGTTGCCTTGATTCTATTATTGGTCCTATACAGATGACAAGTCCTATCTTAGAGTATTGTTGTAAGAATTTGGACATATAGAAAAACAGATAGATATTTATAATGCCAAATCCATGCTAAGATTGCATAAATGTTCTTAAGATGAACATTAACAAGTTCTCAAGAAAGTGGAGTGGACAGAACCTGAATTTGGGTAGACTCCAAACGGAGTTGAAGAAGATCCTTATCTGAGTTAAGGTGGACTCCTTATGTTAGGAGCTGACCTTTCCATAGACACTGGATAGTGTGCCCCCCTTTCATGATTACATTTCAAAGAGTTGGTTTGCATGTCTTTGATAAAGACAATCCTGGGTATTAAACGTGGCAGTTTAGTTTAGGGTTATTTAGCTTTTAAAAGGACTCACACATTTCAAAGTCACAAAGAATTTAGAAATACAAGACTTCTAAAGTAAATACTGTAAGTAAAAGGAAGATGGGATAGACTGGAGATACTGGGAAGACTTGAAAGTAGATGTAAGGGGTAGGGGTAAGAGGGAAATGGGGAAAAGCTATGCTCTGCATCATATGAGTCCCGGGCAGGATTCCCAAAGTCTTCACCAAAGTGCTAAATTCACTATATTTGGTGTGTTAGGTTTTCTGAGCTAATCAAGGACAGTCTTAGCTTTGTAGCCAGGTCATGACTGGTTGGAGGAGACCAGGGGAATATAAGCATCCATGGGAATGACCAGAAATCTTGGGAAAGGCTGTGGGTTTGTATTGTTTGTGGTCTAGGATATCTCCTGTAGATCTTAAAAAAGAAAGAACTTCATAAGTATTATCTGGATCAAAAACTTATTTTTTGACACAGATAAAAAAAGCTAAGAGAGAAACTGATGACAGGAGTCATGATTTTGTGAAATTAATAATACATACTTGTTCATTTTGGAACAAAACTCTCAGTGTTTACACCAAGTATTGCCTTCTCTTAGTGAATCCAATATTTTTCCCATAAAAAACCCCTCTTGCCCTTGTCCGGCTGGGCAAAATAACTGGGAGATGACAAGCAACTTGAAGGTTGAAGCGGGAACTAATTTATTGCTAGTGAACTCAGCGGGAACTGAGTGGGGGAACTCAAAGTAGCAGGTACCCTAGGTAGCAGTCACTGCCACTCTGCCTGACTGCAGAGGTACAAATACCCAACTAATTACACACAGCTTAACTTAATTAACATAAACTAGATACAGCAGTCAGTCATTAAGGAATCCTTATCATCTTAATAGCTCGCTGACATTGGCTCAGAAACCACTCCTCCTAGCATACTGCCAGGCGCCATCTTAACTTGGTTGTGGCCCTCATCACCCTAGATATTATAATGTCCTATATGTGAGGTGTGCTAAGTCTAATCTGCTATGAATCAACTTTACACAGTCTAGGTGTTGGACATCTTTTTCATTCTCATTAGTTTGGGTATCTTCACATAGTATATTTATCATGTTTTGGGAAATTTTTAGTTCTTCTAGTTCAATAATTTGCATTTGTATCCACCTATATTGAGCAGTTGGCCATTGTCTTGTTCCATTTGGGCTACGTAACAAAATACCACAACCAGGCAGGTTATGAGCAACTCACATTTATTTTTCATAGTCTGGAGGCTGGAAGTCCATGGTCAAGGCACTGGCCGATTCAATATGTCATGAAAGCCTGCCCTCTGGTTCATAGATGACAGTTTCTCACTGTGTCCTCCCATGGTAGGAGGAATACCTGGCTCTCTCTTTATAAGGGAGACCATCCCAATCAGGAGAGTTCTGCGTTCATGAGCTCATCACCACCCAAAGGCCAACCCAGGTACCATGGCAGTGCTGATTAGGCTCCAGCATGTGTCTGGGGGACACAAATATTCAGCCACAGCAGTTACTTGTCTTCTGAAGTCCTTGCTTAGGGGTCTCAACACCTCTACTACTGATTTCTGGAATGAAAATGCAAATAAGTTTGTCTTCATGCAAGGAGGGCCTCAGGCAAGACCTCTGCCATTTGGGTTTCTCGGTGCCATTCTAAGCTCATCTCTCATCTCATCATGCTCTGACCCAACTAGCTTCAGTTCCCAAGAGAGTCCCATGGTTTTGTTTGTATCTGGTTTTCATATGTTTTCTTCTTGCCTCCTCAGCCGCATCTGGGGAAAGTGCCAGAAAATGATGCTAATTTGCAAGTTTATAATGAGTCAGAGAAAGGCTTATATTTCACATCTTTGGGATATTATTAGCTCCTTCTCTCATCTCAAATATTATGATTATTTACCTTTGGGTATGCTGTATCTCTGAAGGAAATTTAAAGACTGCTATGTTTATTAGGACAGTGGAAACCTGACTTATGTTCTAGAAATTCTACCTAATTGAATCCAAAATTTGCTAGATATTAAAACGCAAAAACAAAATGTTGATGTGATTTAAACTGGTAACTTATACTTCTTGATTTTTTGTAAGAATGTTCACTTGGCCACCATCATAAATTCTGTCAGACATATCAGATTCTATTATGGGAGGTTTTAATGATTTATTTGTGCACAAAACTTATAAAAAATCATTAAGGTAATCTGGGCTTGAGAGAATTGTATCTGGTTTGTAGTCATGGAGTCTCACTTGGGGTGGAGCTTAACTAATCCAGGTGGCATCTGGTAAGAGGGGTTGGTCCCTGACCACTGCTCATTGACTCATTCTCTAGTGACCACACCTAGCTGAGGGAACTCACTCAGGGAAATGTTTTTAGTTGTAACTCTTGGGATTTTTCAATTTTATATATAGAAAGTTGAGAAATAGACTGTATCTGGACAGCTATATCCTTTCCTTATAAGTCATTGTTTAAATTTGAATAGGGAGCAAGTCAAGAGTATTTCTAGAAATTTGGGTTGGAATTGAGCTAATTAAAAAATAATATGTGTAAGATAATGAATTAAAAATTAAATCCTTCGAAACTTCTGTTTTCCCAGTTCCCCGTTTTACTCTTTAACCACATTGATCTGAGCAGGGCTCTCCTTCCTATTATACTATGCGTAGAGGATTAGAATTGTTCTTTTGGTTCTTGTGCATGAAATGAAATCATGGGGTAATTTAATAGTTGATCTGCACACATATTAGTCACACATGGGGAAATGGGAATTGGATAGTGTCAACTAATTGAAGCCAGAAGCGGATTTCTAAAAAAGAGAGAGGGGGCAAATAAACTAATCACCCAGCAATGTGGGAAAGGTGATTAATCATTTTTTTCATTATCAGGTGAGTTAATTAGGAGGTACTTGATACTCTGAGAGGTCTCCAGAAAGCTGGATAGGGTCGTCAAAAGAAAAAAAAAAAAAAAACTTGTAAGTGAAGTTAGCCAATCCCAAAAAAACAAATGCTGAATGTTTTCTTTGATTCATAGTGGGATAGGGAGCGGGAACATAGGAGGAAGATGAACTCTAGACAGCACAGAGGGGTTGGAGGGGAAGAGAGGTGGCATGGGGTTAATTATGGTGGAATGAAAAACCAACCAAACAACAACAACAACAACAAAAAAAAAAACCAAAGCCATAGCTTGTGATTAACAGCAGATTTCCCCATATTGCCAAAAGCCTGTGAAAAAGTTTGTAATGTACCCTATGCAGTCATGAAAACAAATGTAAGACTGAAAGTATTTTAATAAAATTAACATCTGAGTAAAAAAAAAGATTTTATCTCTTAAATAAAATGTGATCATGTTAAAAAAAAAAAGCTTAAGTTAGTTTTAATCATCCAAAAATCCTGAGAGGCTCTTCTAGTGAGGGGAACAGGCTGTCTTTGTGTAATTTCTGCCTATGTTTTTCCACTATCACCTCTACCTCAGCTCAATCAGATTTTCTCAAATCTAGAAAAAAAATTCTTCATTAACCTTTGAATTATTACGAAGCAAAAATTCACCTTAACAAAGATAAATCCCAAATTTATTAGGATTGGCATGTGGTGGGGTATGTGTGTGTGTGTGTGTGTGTGTGTAGGAAAACTTTGCACTGGGCAAGATGGTAAAATAGTTCCTTATTTAAATGCATTTACATCCATGAGCCATGTCTGGAAAGGCTGTATATGTCAACATGGACTGACAGCAAAATACCAACCACAAAGTGCCTGAAGCAACATATTTAGTTCTCATAATTCTGGAAGCTGAAGTCTGAGGTCAGGTGCCACCATGGTTGGGGTATGGAAAGGACACTCTTCCTGGGTTCCCAGTATCCACCTTCTTGCTGTGTCCTCACAGGACAGACAGCAAGAGCTTCCTGTCTTTTCTTCCAGGACATTATTCTCATTATACTGGGGGTCCACCCTGGTGAGTACATTTGACATTTTTTTACCTTCATAAAGGCCCTGGCTTCAAAAGTAGCCACCTTGGGGTTGAACTTCAACATTTGAATTTTGGGGGAACTTGATACATTCTATCCCTAACAAAGGTAAAATCTTGGTTGCTGTGCAATGGACCACGTTTTTTCCCTGTGCATGGGGGACTAAGGCACCCAGGGGCTTCAGGACTTCAGGTCTATGGAAGTCCACAGAGCAGCCACTAGGGACATGGAGGCTTAGGGAGCAGTCCTGTTTGATGCTGTCATCTCTTAGAATGTTTGGTGCCATATCTATGAATTTGCAGGTGTGCTGCCCCAGCTGGGAGCCATGAATGTGGGCTCAGCATTAGTTAGAGGGTCTCTCTGAGGTTGAAAGAGAGGTTGGAGGGTTTGGTGCTGCACTGGGACAGCCTGAAAGCCCTACATAAGGACATGCAGAAGAACAACAGCCCCCAAGGAGAAGGACAGGAGCTGTGGGATTGACACATGGCCTGTGCCTGGCCCACGCTAGAGCAGCCCAGTAGCCTTGAAGCTATGTGACAGCCTTCGCAAGATGGAAGCCAGCATCCTGGATCAGCTGAGCCCCGTTTGTGTCAAGGGAGTCAAGGTGAATGGCAATCTGCAGAGACCATGACATGGGAGCAGTGACATCCAGAGAAGTGGTGTCTAGAACTCTAGCATTCAAAGGACAAGGGCCCTGAGCAGGAGGAACACGTGCTCAGCTCTGTCCCACCCTGCCATGGGCTCCAGGCTCCTCTGCTGTGTGGCCATTTCCTTCCTCAGAAAGGAGAGTCCTACAGACAAAGAGAACATCCTCACTCTGAACTTGCTGACCTGGAGTCCTCCACTTTCCCCTGGGGATGCGGCCCAGGCTCTCTCCTGGGCTCATTCTGCATCCACTTTTCCACAGACTCAGTGGAGTCCGGAGTCACCCAGATTCCAAAATACCTAATCAAAACATGAGGACAACAAGTGACACTGATGTGTTCCCTATCTCTGGGTACACCAGTGTGTACTAGTACCAACAGATGCTGGGCCAGGGCCCCAAGTTCTTCTTTGAAAGCATTTATAGACATCAAACGAAAATGTCCCTGACCAGTTCTCCACTCAGCAGTTCTGTGACTATGGCTCAGAGCTGAGCTTGGCTGCCTTGGATCTTGGAGACTCAGTGCTGTATCTCTGTGCCAGCAGCATGGCCCAGCCCTACAGAGTCACCAGCATTCTGTGCACAAACCTCCTGCCCAGAGAGGAGCACCTAAAGTATTCATCTGTGAGATCCCAGGGAGTGCATGGGGGAGAAAAACGTGGTTTTAGGCCTCTGGAAAGTGTAGCATGGGGCTTTCCTGCCATTTGGGGGAGAGGATCAAGGCCAAGAGATGCTTTCCAGAGGGCAAGTTCAATAAGTTCTCTGTAATGTCCCTTTCTTGACTGGATGCTGCATAGCTTAGGGCAGAGGAGGAATCTGTGATCGAATTGGTGGCTCTCACATTCATAGGCAATATATTTCATCTTGCACTCTGCTTTGTTTGACAGTATTGTGGTGTAGAGAACAAAATCACGGAGGTCTGCTTCATGTAATTGAGGAAGAAACTGAGTGTGAGGTAAGTCCAGGAGAAGGAAAGTGATAAAAATGGTTGACATACAAAGAGTTGCAAAGTGACTTAAAGTGGTGTCCTGTGCAGCATGAGCTCTCTTCTTACTTTTTACTCTCCGGAAGTCCTCCATACATGGGAAATATAAAGCAAGCCTTGTAGCAACTGGTGTCACCTGGCAGGCAGTCCCAGTTGGGGACTTGGCCAAGTAGCTGATTGTGAGGATCCTGCAGTTGATGACACTGTCTTCCTTCTTCACTTCTGCCCCCCTTGCCCCCTCAGCACACAGTCATGTGCTTCCCAAACACAGCAGAGGTCATGTCCACTGGGGTCATCGAGGACAAGGACTGTCCAGTTTCCCCTAAATCTATTCTGCTCCCCAGGGATGGTGCTCTGCCTCTGGGCCGCCCAGGTACCTTCTGTGACCAAAAGACTCTTCTCCACACTGTGAACACTCAGCAGGCTTTAGCATCCTGTGTCTCTGCTCCATCTTTCCCTGTCTGGGAGGACCCCTTCTCCCACCCATGGGTGCTGCTCACCTGCTTTTCTTCCCTTCCCTTCCCTGTCCCCAGTACTAGGCGTAGTATTGCTGTCTTGACTTTCCTTTCCAAGGAAAAGCCACATTGTATAGCTGGCCCTGTTTATGTTTATTAAATAAAAAAGTAATGCCACTCCATCAGCACCCTGAAGGTTTATTTATTATGATTTTCCCATCAATGAATGCAATGAACTGTCTTTTAGGATTACCTTGGTTTTCTAAACAACATCTGTAATGTCCTGAGCAATTATGTTGTCACAGTCAACACTGAAGACCATCCTGTGAAGTCCCAAACTATGTCTAAAAGCGAAATTTGCAAGTGTTCTTCTGCAAAAGAGAAAATCATATGATAATTCTCCCAGTATCATGAACCTATAACAAAGGAATTCCCACTACAATACCCTTCTCTTCAGCCCTGGCCTTAGGGACTTAGTGCAGCTTGAAACATCAGACTTCTCAGAAGTTAACTCTAAAGTGACAGAGAAAGCTCGGTGTACTCCGGAAGGAAATCTATCACTCTTGACATTTAAGACACTGTGTGTGAGTGCATATGCACGAATGTGAGTTTGTGTTGTGTGTCTCTGTGGGTACACATGTGTGTTTTCTTGTGGAGTTTCTTCTACCCTCACACAGTTTACCTCTGGTGGCATTTACTAAGAGGTGCCGGGTCACTGGCAAGAGCTCATAGCTCTTCAGGCTAGTGACAGCAAATTCATACCCAACCAAGTCAGCCTTAAATATAGCTGATAAAGTTGTCTATTTCAAGATTATATAAGCCTGGAAGTATATGTTTAATATCTAGAAACCATCTTTGTAAATTACACTATTTAATGAGGTTATGATTAAATAAAAAATCAAATGTAAAAAGTCACCTGTCTGATTAATGAAGTGAGCCATGGAATACAGGTTTCCCACATGGATCTTCTTGAGGTGGTGTTATTCTGCTTGCCTCTTTCATTTTAGCATACTGATTGCACTGGTGTAATATTAGTTTCTTTTTAACCATAATGTGGGTTCATACAATTTATTTGCCTCCACAGGCTTTGAAATCCTCCACTCAGACTTGAAGATCAACCCTAAATTGTCCAGATGAGAAAGCCGCAGAACGGTTGTGGACAAGAGGGGACACCGGGTGGGGATCTTTTCTGCTGATTTAGTCAATCATGACATGAGCTCAGAAGGTGGAGTCCATGATACTGTGGGCCAAGGGCCATGTGGGGGCACAGTGTCTCCACAGTGCTGCAGGGTCCCTGGGAGGCCTTGGAAGATGGCCCAGGAGAGCAGAGCTTTAGGGGATGCTGGCTGCCTGCTCATAACAGGGAGGTAGTTGGAATTCCTGGAGTGGGTCCTGGACACACAGCTAAATACAGTCTACTGTCCAGGGGAGGAAGGGCTGCCTTGAGACTCTGCAGACACAAAGAAAGAGTTTTCTTGGCTCACGCTGGGGCAGTGGAAAGTGAAGGGCTAGAGAGGCCAGGGCAGGGAATCAGAGTTAGGCCAAGAGCCCACTGCAGAGATGGAACTAGCATGGAAGGAAGTAGGACGTGGACCTGGGCCAGGAGGGGGGTGCTCAAACTGACCCACCTTCAGATCAGGGGCTGTGCAAGGCAGGAAGGGTGCTTTGGGTACAGCCTGAGTTTTGTCATTGGGTGCAGTGGGCCAGGTGGCCTGCAGGGAGGGACATGTCAGAGCATGACACATGATGCTGATGGGGAGACTAGAACTTCAGAACCTTTGAATGCTCAGCCTGGAAGGTCCCACCACTCAACTAGGAGACCCTGGGTTCCTGATGCTGCCATGGGCTCCAGGCTCCTCTGCTGGGTGGCCCTTTCTCTGCTGGGAACAGGTGAGTCCTGGGTACAGCAGGTGAGTCCTAGGTACAACTTCTGCTCTGTGTTCATTACCCCTGGAGCACATCTCACTCCAGGATGGCTCAGCGGGACCCTTGCTCCTGGGCTCTGCTCTTAGCTCCATCTCCTCCCACAGGCCCAGTGGACTCTGGAGTCAAGCAAACCCCAAAACATCTGATCAAAGCAAAAGGACAGCAAGTGACACTGAGATGCTCCCCTCTCCCTGAACACCTCTCTGTGTACTGGTACCAGCAGACCCCGGGCCAGGGGCCTCAGTTTCTCTTTCAGTATTACAATGGGGAAGAGAGCGAAAAAGGGACGAACATCCCCAGTCGATTCTCAGCGCAGCAGTTCCCTGACTACAGCTCTGAACTCAACCTGAGCTCCTTGGCGCTGGGTGACTCGGCTCTGTTCCTCTGTGCCAGCAGCCGGGCACAGCCACCCATGAGCATCAGCCTTCAGTACAAAATCATTCCTGCCCGTGTCAGGAAGTGGCCCGGAAGGTGGAGCCTCAGCCAGGCTGGTTCAGGCCTGGGAAGCTGCCAACCTGTCACAGACACCCAGTGTGGAGTGCATTCAGCTGCTCTAGTGCCACAGCAGTGGTGCAGGGCAGTGCATTCACCTGTTCCCATCCCCGAGGGGACGCAGCTTCCTGGTCTCATGCAGTCATTGGGTGATGTCAGCTCCTCAACCCAGGTGTTCCCCACCCGGCACTCTGCAAATCTGCCCCCTCCACTGGCTTCCCTCTCCCAGGTCCCCACTAGCAAGTTGAGAAGGTCATGCAACATGCATCTTAACCTCCTGCGTGACTTGTCCAAGGAACACGTGAGTTCAAGGCAAAGCATATCCCAATGGGTCCTCCTCTGTGAAGAAAATGAAACTTAAAATTTTCTGCACTGTGGTCATAGACTGGGCCAAGTCGTCTTCCTCTCTCTCATGGGGGCCTGTGAGTAGTGAGCGCTCCCAGCTGGGGATCAAGAGGAGGAACATTTACAGGGGAAGCACCACTGTCCTGTGGGTGACACAGTCAGACCTCAGGGGAAGGGAGAGGATCCTTGTTGGTCACTCATTTCCTTTATTCTTTTATTCAACAAACATTTTGGGGAGTCCTACATTGTATAAGACATTGATCACCTAGGACAGAAATAGAAAAAAAAAAAGAAAACGAAGATAATAAAAAACTATTTTCATTCTCTGAGGTAGATATAGAGAGACAAACAGCTATATCTATGTCTATACCTGTCTTTCTCCATACTTACACATACACACACAGGAAGCGAGAGCGAGAGAACAAGCTTTGCTTATTTAAAGCAGTTTACTGAGATTGTGAATTGTACAAATTTTCTTTTTTTCCTTTTCTCTCTAACGCTTCCTGTTTGTCAGATGTTTTTAAAAAAATGATGATGTGACAATAACATTTAAAGAAGATCTATCATCTTAACAGACTTTTGGGGTTAAATCATCAAGGAACTTTTAATTTTATTCTATGGGGTTCGTTACTATGATTCCTTTTCCTTTTCATTGGTGTGTTATAGTCACATGGTTCAGTGTCACACAGCGTACATGCACCCAGACCGCCCCTTTCCCTCTCTTCCTCCCTTCCTGTGTTCTTATCAGATGGTTTTAAGGTGACGATATTGTTTTTCAGAGGGAAACCACGTTACACAGGAGATCTCTGGGACCTGTGCACATGCATAACTTACTCTTTGACAGTGACTCCCCAATTCCTCACCCGCTGGCCTGGAAAGTGACATTCTGACTTTCACCGCCAGGGGTTTGACACTTTGGATCCCTTATCAAAGTGGGATCATGTAGTATCTTTTTGTGACTGTCTTCTTCCAAGCTCATGGCTGTTATACCATATAGCAGGATTTGCTTGTTTTTAAGACTTCATAATAATTCAGAGTGTGTGAATGCCATGTTTAAGAGGACACTTTAAAAAGTATGCTACGTGGCTTTCCTCTGGCAGCTGTCCACTAGTGACAGGGTCAATTGCAGAACTACAAGCCCTAAATGCATTAACGCACATTCACAGTTCAATTCTGCTTCACTCAGAGAGAATAATGATGGCACCATTTATCAGCAATTTAGCATATAGCAAATCAAACCCTTCATTTGCACAATTTCACTTACTCAGACATTCAATTGTCAGAGAAAGAGCTAAGAGGCAAATACTATTATTGCTCTCATTTTACAGATGAGGGAATAGGCCTATCAATAAAATAACTTGACCAAATCAAATAGCTATGAGGATGCAGACCTGGAACTCAACCCCTGGTTGACATTCATGTTTGTCACTCCATGCTAAGATAAATTTTCATATAGATCCCTACCTTCACAACTACAGTGTGTCCCCCTTTTTCCCTCTCAGACCTGCTGGCTTTAATTAAATCACTGCTAGAAATCCATTTCCCCATGAGATAGTGATGTAGGCAGATAATGGTAATCTACTGAGTGACACATACACCTGTTTTGATTGCAGATCCAACATGAGTTCCTCAAGACAGTGACCAGTTGCTTGATAAATTTTCCTGAATGCAATTATCTATAAAATTAGGGTAATATTATCTATCTGTATCAGAGTTGTCCAGAGAAGCAAACCAATAGCCTCTATCTATCCATTCATCCATCCATCTTCATTGTAAAGAATTAGCTAATGCAATTATGGAGGATGGTAAATAAAAATCTTCAGGGTGAGCACGTGAGCTGGAGAGCCAGGAAGGGCAACCACTGTAGTTCAAAGGCTGTCAGAGGGACAATACTCTGACCTGGAGGAGGGTTTGTTTATTGGTCCTAGTCACACCTTCAGCTGATTAGAGTCAGCACCCTCTCTTCCAGGTCACCCACCTACCTCCACTCCTCTGCGCCAACAGGTCGCCTGCAGGACTGTGTGGTCACCATCCTCCACATGGATGGAGAATCGCCAGAGTGAGGTTCTCTGCAGTGAGGTCTCACCTGAGCACAGGAACCAAGTCTATGAGTGGATGAGAAGGTGCCCTAGCTACTTTGCCAGGTGTCCCACCTGCCAGGGATTACACACACACACACACACACACACACACAAGAACACAAAAACAGAGCAAGACTTCAGATGCTCAGGAGCCCCTCCTAGAATTTAGAAACTGGAAACCTGAAAGAATCACTGAGGCTGAGGGCTTTAGCAGCGTTGTGACCAGTTGAGCACATGCGAAATTCATACTTGAAGAAGAATTTGGGACACACAGGTCAAAAGCCACCAGGCAGCCATAAGGACTTTCCCTAAGATTCTGAACTCCAGAAATGTTTAGATGACTGAACCAAAGTAGTAAGAAAGAGTGACAGTGTCACTGGAACACAATATCCACGGGGTTACAGGCTGTTTCACAAAATGGTCAAGAGAAACGTGATGACTGAGTCATTTTGGACAAATGGGTTCCATTCTTTTATTTTTAATTTTTACTTATTTTTAAATTCTAATTTGTTATGTGTAACGGCAGAATGCATTACAATTCATAGTACACATATAGAACACAATTTCGTATATCTATGGTTGTAAAAAATGTATATTCATGCCATTTGTGTCTTCATACATGAATTTAGGGTAATGATTCCATTTCATTCCACCATCATTTCTACCCCCATGCCCTTCCCTTCCCCTAAAACCCTTCCACCCTATCTAGAATTTGTCTATTCCTCCCATGCTACCTCTCCCTACCCCACTGTGAATCAGCCTACTTATATCAGAGAAAACATTTATCATTTGGTTTTGGGGGATTGGCTAACTTCACTTAGCATTGTATTCTTCGACTCCATCCATTTACCTGCAAATGCCATGATTTTATTCTCTTTTACTGATGAATAATATTCCATTGTGTATATATGCCACAACAGGGTTCCATTCTAAGCCACTCACTTGAGCATTCATTTTGGGTCTGACCTTCTGGGAAAGGGGCGTGGCCCCTCATGACAGGGAGGCTTTGGGCCCAGGCAGGGAGAGTGAGGACTTAGAGTGACATCCTGGAGGTTCCTGTTCTGCTCTATGAAATACAGGAACCCAGCAGACCCCTCTGTCTGCCTGGCCCCTGCCATGAGTCTCAGCATCCAGTGCTGGGTGGTGACCTTTTGTCTTCTGCAGGCAGGTGGGTGCTGGAAGGCCCATGAGATGCGCAGATCCCAGGGCCAACCTGTGCATGGGGCTGAAGTACTGGCTTCTTTCACCTTTTCTACAGGTCCAGTGAATGCTGGGATTACTCAGACCCCCAAATACCAAATACTGAAGGTAGGACAACCTATGACCTTGAGATGTGCCCAGGATATGAACTATGGCAGCATCTACTGGTATTGACAGGATCCGGGGCTGGGGCTGAGACTGGTCCATTATTCACATAATATTGGCAACATGGAAAAAGGAGAAGTCCCCGAAGGGTAGAGTGTCTCTAGGTCAAGGAAAGAGGACTTTCCCCTCACTCTGCCGCCGGCCACCTACTCCCAGACATCTGTGTACCTCTGTGCCAGCAGTGACACCACAGTGCTGCACATCTGGCTCCTCTCTGCACATAAAAACAAAAGAGGACCTGCACCCTGAGGATCAGCGACCCCCTGGGTCGACTTCTTACCCCTACGGACCTGGAGCTCTGAGGATCCTGGGCAGTGCAAACCTCAGTCTTTGCTGAGGTGCGTCTCCATACTGTCTCAGTCAGGCCTCCACCTGACCCTGTGTTGCTAGTCGTCATTAGCCCTGTGTTATCCCACTGAAATGGGATGCTGCTTCCCTGACTCTGAGTTCTCCAGTCATGGGCTTCAGTGTACGGCTACCAGGATGGAACATGGTCTGTAACTGGGTTCCACCTCGACTCCCTGTCTCTCACTGACACTGCATTGCCTTCACTTTCTAGGGTTCTCCAGCAGTCCCAGCCCTCCTGTGGTCTCTGCTGCTGCCCACCTTCCCTGTATGCACACTGTCCCCCAGTGGTACTTCAGGGACTTCCTCATCCCAACTCCCTGCTTCTCTCTGCTCCAGTCACAATGCCAGTCCTCATCTATGCCTCCTTCTTCCCAGGGCAGAGACCTCCAAGGTGCCTCCTCTATCCTGGGCAGAGGTGAAGTCCTACCTGGGCTTCACAGCTCAGCTAGCCCCTCCGGAGGGATACATTCCTTACCTCCCTCCCCAGGTCAATTTCCCTGGCACATCCACATGTTGTTAGTCAGGAGAATATAGCAAAGTTGCAATTTTCTAGATCCTTGGCTGATTGTTTCTCTTCTAACTATGTTTTAACTTCCATGAGGACAGGGACCATACCAGCTGCTGTCTTATTCCCTATGTTGCTTTGTGCACAGTGAATCCCATTTAATTAAGAAGAGATAAGTGAATGAAGGACAGAAAAGATGGATTAAGAAATTATAGAAACACCCTAGGCCCCCCTTTTCCCTGGCTGAGATCCAGTATTAACTGGGAAAAGTCACATCCCTTTGACACGGGGCAACTCTGTCCTGGGTCTCCCTGCATGGTTTCCTGCAGCACCAGATTCCCCCAGAGGTGTGCTCTGTACTTCAGTCTGATTGTCCACAAGAAATCTCATCAGATCTGAAAGATGCTCTCAGAATTCCCTCCTGTAAGTCTTCTTTCCTTGAAACCACTTCTGGTACCTATTAATAAGTTTCCATCAGTGGAATGGTTGCTAGAAGCACTGTGGGAAGAGGTTTATCAGAGAAATTAGGCCTAACACACATGTGGGCAGAGCTGAGGCAGAGCAGGTCTGGAAGGGAGAAGTCAAGGGATGGTCAGTAGTCGGTGCTCTTGGAACTCTGGTGTGGGAGCAGAGGCTGGAGTGGCAGGGAAGAGGGATTGGACCACACTCAGCCACCTGGTGTGACTCGCACAGGGAAGGCTATTGAAGTGGGTGAAGCCTGCTTCTGGGGAAGCAGCTGCCTCTGTGTGGGGCATCACTGTGACTCACCGCCTGGCAGTGTTGGACATTGGGAGGAAAGCTAGACACAGGGTACAGAGGTAAGAGGACCTGTGGTCTGTGCACACTTGTGTAACTGTCAATCCCTAATTTCCCTGTCTGACTACAGTGACCTTCCACATGCAGAGGTGGCTGTTTTGTTATATTCAAAACTCTACACAAATGCCTCCTTGACCAG